CATTAGGCATGATAAAAATAAATAATGCCAGCAAGTCAGTGAATTAATTCCTATAACTCCAAAAAAGAAAAACATTGAAAAGTAACCCCATTACACAGAATGAAGATTGAGGCTGTTCATATCAGTAAGAAATTTCAACAAGCTGCTATTTTGCTAAGACCAGAGCTGGGAATTCTAGACCCGCAATGTTCACTAGCTAAATCACCCAGAGAAAATCAAATGCCCTGTGACCCTGTGATGGTGTTGCAATGCAGTTGCATGACCTTGAAGAGATGAGTTCACCTCTCTGGGTCTCAGTTTCGTCATCTGTAGAATGGGCACCTTTCTTGCTCTAATGCAATGTGACTACAGTATTCTTTCACAGTAACAATGAAAATGCTGCTACAAAGACCTTGCAACAGCTAACAGTTCCTGGAGGCTTACTTTAGGCCAGGCATTGGTTTAAGGGTTTTACATGTACTAATTGAGACCATCAGCTTACAAGGCAGTATCATGCCATTTTATAAACGAACTAGGTTAAACAGTTTTCCCAAGAAGTGGAAATGAACAAAGCCACAATTCCCACACAGACAGATGTTCTCAACCACTTCACTCAACTGTCCTTTTAAAATGGGAAAGCAAGGTGCCATGTATATATTTAATCATACATTTCAATATCCAAAGGATGCCTCCAAATCCTTGCTTGCTAGGCCTCTAAATTGCAACCATCTTTCCTGCAGAAAATTACAGTTTTTCCTTGGCTTTTGTTATACCACAAGTAAATTATAACTAAAATGACTTAGTGAATTACTGGTTGCAAATTACAAGCACCTGCAGAGTCACGTTTCCTGCAAGTATAGAAATGCATAAACGGATGTATCTTCAGCTACCTTTACTCCAATACCTAAGAGCATGCTCTATTCCCTTCCACCCTCAGAATGACGAAACTAGAGAAAGCATTCACAGAATTTCCTGCTCCTTAGTGGGGATATTGGGCATATTTGTCTGCCCTCCCAGACTTCCACCCTCAAGGAAGGAAGTGATTCTTCCACCTATTGGGGGTACTGAAAGATTGTCTGGAATAATAAAGTTGGTTGCCCTCAACAAATGATTGGGTCTGTTAATTTGTTTTAGAAGAATAAGATTCTTTATTGATGTACAGATAAAAGAAACTCTCTGACATACCTGCCCTTCAAAAAAATATCTGATACTGGAAAATTAATTCATAATAAAAAATAATTCTTTTTAAAATATCTAGCTCATTACATCACGGTAAAAGAAAGAAGGTAGGTTGTATTCTCAGTCACACATATTACCTATTTGTAGTTAATAATAGTGGATACTTTTATTTTAGTATCATACTAAAAAAGTCTACTTTCTGTATCTGACTACTTAAAATTATAGAATATAATTTTTTCATTTATATGGAACTATTGACTATTCCTAATCATAAATTTTAACCAAAACAAACCTGGCTAGAGCCAGCTGGTATTCTGACAAAATTAAAAAAAAAAAATGTCAACCTTTCCTAACACTGACAGGCAAATTTTGAAAACAGCTGGCTGATTTTGGGTATAATTAATGAGAGCATTAAATTCTGAAAAAGGGTTTTCATGCATTTGGTAATAAAAATGAGTTCCAGGAAACAAAGTAGAAAGAGAGAGAAAAAAAAAAAAAAAGAAGAAAAAGAAAAAACAAGTGACATGATAAGACTTATGACTTAAAATTTCATTTTACTAGTTCTAAGTTTTCTGATACCAGGGATCAAAGTTTATTTTGTTCACCAGGCCCAGCACTATTGCCATTCCTGGTAGTTGGTTGGCACTCAACAAACTGATGGTGAAAAAATTATAAATCAGATTTTTTTATTAATGCTCTCCATGATAAACAGCAGAACTTGTTACTCATATTATTAAGCAGAATGTTTAAATTCAAGATATGCCATCAAATGTTCTATTTACTGAGTTTCATGTCTTCAAATAATTCTTCATAAATATGGGATTAAATGTATTTAACAGTTTAAGCAAGACTGAAGTTTCAATTCAGGATTTATTTTTACAATATATAAAACTTTGAGGATTACTTTAATTTTAGGACCAATAATGTGAAATTATGGATTGACCAAAAGTTAAAAGTAAATGAAATCACTTTGTGAACAATGTCAATTAGAGAAATACTAAATCAAAACGAAGAAACTGCTTTTTTCTTTTTAGTATGTATTCCAAATCATCTTTACAAAGGCAATGACATACAACAAAAAATCTCTTTGCACTTGCATTATGCTAAGATCATTTTGTAATCCAAATGTTCTAGGAGGCCAGGGATGTGCTTTAAGAAAATTGCCAAACTTCTATAAGAACTGATGAAAGTCTAATGGAAATCAAAATCAGGCAGATTCAGGGGGAAAAAAGGAATCTGTCCAAGAATTTAGGCAGCAAAAAATAGATCTGCTTAGCTCCTGAATTGCATGACAGCCCAGCTATTCAACTAACGTGCTCCAGCGTGGAAACCTCGGCAGGGCCCCAGGGCAGCCATACCCACCTCCCAAGGTCGACCTCTCTGAAGCCAAGGTCTACCAGCCGGAGAAATGAACTCATCTCTAATCACATGAACATGGCTCTACCTTAGCACTACTCTATCTTCAAATGTCCCTACCCCAGCCATCCTTGACTAGCTGGATGGAGAACATTTTTTGGAAAGCAGAGATGTTGGTTATGGTGCTACCAAAATCAAAATAGAAACAGGCTGGTGGGAGCCCAGAATCATCCATCCCAACTCGTGTCCAGTTTCAGATCACAGGGCACATTTCTCCCAGGCATAGATAGCTCCTTCTGACGTGATCCTGCAGCTGGTCTCTGCCTGAAGGTGGCTTTTCTACCAGACTGGGTTACCCTCCCTGATTCTGGGACATTTCTGTACAGCTTGTCTCTTTGAAGGGTTTACATAGTAGACATGAGACCATGAATTAGGTACAGCCAAGAACAGGATTCATTTCACTCTCATGCTGTGAGAAATGCCCACTTTGTACTTAAAATGATTTAGCTGAAGGCAAGAGGAGCATGCAAATGACTGATTTATCAAGGAAAAGTTAAGATGCTTGGATAATGTTTTTAAAAGGCTACCACTTCCACAGATGCACCAAGCAAAATGGGACATAAAGGAATATAGAAACTGAATATAGAAACACAAATATAAAGAACAGAGACAATTCAAAGAACGGTGCTTTAAGCACAATGATGCTAAATCTGAGTGACCCATTCAAGAATCTCTATCAATGAAGTTTAAGAAATTAGAATTCTCTGTCACAGAAAACAAAGGGGTGTGTGCAGGGGAAGCATGAACTTCACACTTGTCTTTAAATATATTAATGCTGCTATAAATAGGTCATCACCTGCTCCTTTCCATTTAGAAGAGAACAAGCCAGAGAAGGTTTGAATTACAGATTCGAGAGAATCACAAGCAGAAATGCCCCAGCAGAGCAGATTTCCAAAGGAAAACTCTGATGTTTCTGTTTTTTCTTGGCAAGTAAAAAACAGTAAGTAGATGTCTTTGGAGCTCCTGCTTGCCCATGAGACTGAGCAGAAGTCTCTCCCCAAGTCCGTTTTGTTCCTAAAAGTAGTAAAGAGAGATAAAAATGCCATTCCAGAGAGCATAGAAGGCTGGTTACACGTGGAGAGAGTCAGGGCTGCTCTGGACGCCTATCTAGACTACAGGGATCAAAAGGTACTCTCTGCTCTAGATTTGATAGTATAAGAGCTAGTGTGTGATCTGTTCTTCATGGCCTCCTACAATCTATTTTCTATTCTTACCTCATTGAACTCAATCAGTAGACAGCTACCACTGAGTAGTGTGGGGAATTTTTTTTTTTTTAATTTTTTGAAAACATGATGGTAACAATTCTTCCCATGCATAACATCTGAACACCATCTGGCTCCGGATATCCGAAACAAATTGCCAAATACCAAAGACAGCTATTTTATCTGGTGAAATATAAGCAAAATCCACTTCTTTGGTGGTGGACACATATAAATATAGGCACATATTTATATTCTAAGCTCAAAAAATATCACCCAGTGGAGACATTCCCAGAACAACTACTGACTAAAAAAAAAAATCTCACTGGATAATCGATGCCTCGCACCAAATCTGCACATACATATCACAGGCACAGCAAAAGTTTGAACCACAGACTCAGAGATCAGTAACAGGAAGTTACCGCCATCTACAGATTTCCCCTCACTGTTCAAGGGAGCGAACCAAGGATTTCTGCTTGAAAAACATAAACTGGCAAAACTGACATCAGCTGTTGAGCTGCATTATACTCCTAGAGATGAAATCCACTTTAATAGCCTGTCCAAAACCCTAAACACGTTACTTCTCTAGGAACAGGAAAGCAACCGTCCATCCCAAATGCTTAACGGTAGACCCTGAGATGAAAGATTCACAAGTCAACACCCCATCACTTTCTGTCTATCGGGCTAAAGGGCTAAATGTACACAGGTTTAAAGGCAAGATGTATACTCAATTTTTCTTCTTCATTTTCCTTGTCATTAATTACTTTTCCAAGGCTGGCATTTTGCAGAGTTGAATAATGCCGAATCCAAACTAAAACGCCAGCTCCGGAGCCGTGCCACTGGAACCGGGCAGGAGACAGTGACTCGCCCAGGAAGCCCGGGGCTGATTCCGGGAGACCCATTCGAGCGCCCTGGGCAGCGGCTCCCGGCGGAAAGCGCAGAGTTTGCCAGCCGGTGCGCAAAGATGCACAAAGCACACGCCCTGCCCGTCCACCTGGTGAACACCTAGACAACTTTATTTTGGGAAGAGCCCTCCAAGGAAACTTTTGCCTCACCCGCAGCCCTTGCCAGAGCCCACCGGGCCGCGAGCCGGCAGAAGTGGGGAGCCCCAGGCCGAGGGGGAGCCGCGGGCGAGGGGGCAGCCCCGAGCTGCACGCGGCTCGGCGGGCCGAGGTCCTCTCCGGGCCGGGGAAGGCGCGGCGCTGGACCCGCGGGGAGGCCACTCACCAGCCCAAGCGCGAAGAAGACGGCGAGCAGGGCGAGGCAGGCGCCCATGACGATGAGCAACAGGAAGACGATGAGCGGGTGCTGCTGGCTCATGCAGTAGTAGGACTCGTAGAGCCAGTCCCGGGACCGCGGCAGCCCGTCTCCGCCGCCCGCCGCCTCCTCGGCGCGGTCCCGCAGGTAGCGGCGGCGCCGCATCGCCTCCTGCCACATCGGGGCGGCTCGCAGGGCGCCCGCTGTGCGTGCCCGGCCGGGGCAGCGCCGCTCGCCGCGGCCGCCCGCGTCCCACTGGCGCGCCGCCTCGGCCGGCCCGGCTGCCGGCTCCGGGAGCTGCGCGCTGGGGCCTCCGGCGCGGGCGGAGCTCAGCGCCCCTGACTGGGCGCGCTGACGCGCGGGCGGGGGACCGGGCGGCGGCCTCGGGGGCAGCTCCCGGCGCCGCAGCCGCCACAGCCGCCGCGCGGGAGGGGGCGGGTTCCACGGGGCCCTCCGCCCGCCGCTCCCCGCCCCGCGCGCCGCCGGCCTCCGCGCAGGGGCGGTGTTGGCCCCCACCCGACGGCCGGGGGCGAGACGGTGGGGGGAGTGGCGGGCTGCCGGGCTCGCTCTGTGCCCCGGCCCGGTGTAGTCCTCGCCTTCCTCCTTCCCACACTCAGCCACCGGGTCGTCCCCCTCCTCGGCCCTATCCCGAGTGCGGCGTGGGTGGGGTAGGAGGCACAGCCCTCCCCTCTGCGGAGTGAGAACGCAGCCCCAGGGTGGAGGGAGGGGGGAGTCCCACCCCCACCCCCACCCCCGCCCACCTGCCTGGGAGCACTGCGGGGCTCCGGAGCTCCTCCCCGCCACCTCAAGGGCAGCAGGCCGCGGGCAGGGACGCTGCCACCCTCCCGTTCCCCCAACCCCTTCGTGGGCTGCGGGGGCTGCTCCCACCCTCCTCCACAGTCACAGAGCGCAGCCGGGGTCAGAGGACCCGGGGGTCCCTCCTAGAGTGCTCGGGTCAGAGGACCCAGGAGACACCCCCCTTCTCACTCTCTTGGGGCGCTGGAGGGGACCTCCCACCCTTCCCGCCTCCCCACGCGGGGCAGGGGTTTGTCGTCTAGCCCGGCCTCCCCGCCGCGCAGCAGTGTTGGGGGCTCCCCCATCCTCTCCACTTTCGGAGAGGCTGGGGCTCCCTGTTAGGGCGGCCGGGCGCGGAAACGCGAGGGACCCTGGACTGGAGACCCGCGCGCTGCGGAAGGAAGCGGTAGAGGCAGAGGCTGCACGCGGAGCCCCCTCGCGGCTTGGGGGGCAGCCACCCTCGCGCCCCGCAGTGTCAGCCTCAGGCATGCTTCGGAGGCACCGGACGGGCCTATCATATTATCACAGGCTCACAGAGGTGCCCCGTGGCCGGTCGTGGTCCTCGCCGGGCCCCTCTGCGGAGCAGGGATGGCGGCAAGGGGTGCTCAGGGAGAGCGGCTTGGCGCGAGCGCGGGCGGGTCGGGTCTGGCAGCAGCTCCCTTCCTGTCATCTCGGAGGGCTGCACGCAGGAGGCGCTAGAGACCCGGCAGGAGCCTGTGGGGGCTGAGGTCATCAAGGACAGTGTCCCCTCCCGACACGCGTGGGAGCGGAGGCCGCTAGCCCTTGACCTGGCGGCCGAAGGGGGCTTCACCGCTGACCTCCAAAGAACCCCTCCCTTCTGGAGGTTTTCTCCTATTCGAGTGTGGTCCGGTCCAAGGAGCCCCCAAATCCAAGCTCCTCCCCAAAGCCTCTCCCTACGGAATCGAAGGCAACGGGCCCTCCCTTCTCCTGACACCAGCCGGCAGCCCAGAGGGCTGTTCCATGCACTTTTTATCTCTTCCAGGAGATGACCAGCTTTCAGGACTCAGCCTTTGTCATCACCTAAGACCTCAGAGCCTTCTCGAATGGCCCCACTGCCCCGCCACTCGAGCTGTCGTGTACCCCTCGCGGGCAGAGGGCATGTAAGCTGGGTAGCTGTATTGCTGTGAGCACAGGCCCAGGCAGGGCACCGAGACCCAGGCGGGATCCTCCCAGAGGTTTTCATTTTAGCAACAGCCAGTGCCCACAGGGCCTAAGGGTGAGGGCTCAGGAGCTGCACCGCTCACCTGCAGATCTCATAGAGAGGGAGGCAGGGAGGCAGCCGGGGAGGGTGCCTGTCTATGCAGGGCCGTGTCTAGGACATCAGGTCCAGCCCCACCAGGCTCCCTGGTCCCTGGACTTCCCTCCTTCTGGGGACCTGGGAAGAAGGAGTGGGGGAGGAGGCAATGGGTGGGAAGGGGTCCCCCTGGAGCCTCCTGTAGGTACCAAGGCTCACCTCCCACCGCGGGTCACCCTGCCCTAGCAACAGAAAGACATTCTCTTACCTGCAGAGTTTATGGACTGCCACCCCCACCCTGTCCTGCCTACCCTCCACTCCAACGCCCTGCTGTGACTGTAACACAGGTAATTTCAACTTCAGACCCTCCCACCAATCCTCACTGGGCTGGATGCTTTGCTATGGACCTGAGGATGTGATTACGATACTCCCAGATTTTAGGTTTTTGAAGGTTCTGAGAGCAAGCTTCAATGACAGACCACACTGATGAGTCCGTGGTGTAAATATCCAGAGCCCAATCCCTTCCAAGGAAAAACGGTTGAGTGGGAAGCTGGACAGGGTTTCTATTGTGTTGGTTCTCTTCCTCCTGCTGTGTGCTTGGTCTTTCTGGGGTGGGCAGAGTTGCACATTTCCAGTCCTTTCCTGTGCTAGCAACCGACTAATTATTCATCTTCCCTCCAGTTCTTGCTTCTTCTCCACCCCTTGTATTGATAAATGTTTGCCTTCACCCACTCAAGAAGGAAGAAAAGTAAATAATCTGTAATTTAGGTTTATGCAAAAACAGCTGAAAAACTTGTGAGGAAAAGGAAATGCTTAATTACAGTCTCCTTCTTCTGAGTGGGGAAGTGGACCCTTTTGAATATCCAGTATCTGTATCATATATATGTTCTCTGTTTGGTAAAGGGAGTCTTACGACTTTTAAGAAATTTTGTTACAATATAATGGCATGGAGATTATTTTGTCCTTGATCCTTTTGAGCTTTTTAAATTCATTCATTCTTTCATTAATTCACTCAACAAACATTTTGTGCCTACCATGTGCTGAATGATGGGGGCAGGGCGTGGGGTAGGGGGAAGACAGGGACCCTGGGAACCTTGTAATGGTTTCCGATTTACTTTGAAAGGTAGGGCTACAAAAAGTGAAACAGGAACAGAAATCAACATTCCTACCCCTCCTTTTTTCCTAAACACTACAATTTAAATTTCATCATCATAGACACAGGACTTAGAAGGAAAATAATATTAAAATCAAGAATATGTCAGGGCTTCTCTAAGGCTTTGCTAGATCTTTGTTTTGTTCCGATGCTTATTTTTGTGGGGGCCTCTGTCGTTACGTTTAATATAAAAAAAGCGAAACAGTATGATCATTACAGTTGCTGTATTCATGTTTTGAAATCAGTTGCACTAATTATGCCTTTTAAAAAGTTCCCCACAACAGTTTCTATTTTAAAAAGGAAAAAAGAAAAAAGAAACAAAACAATAACTCACAAGCCATATGAAGTACAATGAAAAATGTCCTTTAGTACAAAGCCAGGAGCATGAAATACGGACTCTTGCAACTAAAGGGACCCCAAGGAGTCCTCTGGTTCATTTTTGTGTCTCAGGGCTGCTACTCCAAGGGTAAGATGTGGAGAGCAAGGGGTTCTCCCATATATTTACTCTGTAGCAATTTATCTGTGGTAAAAAGAAATCTACTGGGGAATCTCTAACTGGGCCAGAGGGAGAAAAAATAAAAAGCATCAGGAAGCAGAATTTGTTTTTTCCTGTAACGCTAGAGGGCAGCCGTCTATCCTCATAACCCCGCAAGCAAGGCTGACTTTCTGGGTCTGTGACTTGTGCAGCTGGTTCAAGGTTCTGCTGTCGCCACCCTTAAATTCTTAAAAATGTTTGATCAAAGGGTTCTACATGTCCATTTTGCCCAGGGCTCTGCATATTGGAGAGCCTATCCTGCTAGCTGGTCACATTAAACAGCAGTCCAGTCTGGGCCCGCAGACAGAGCCTATGGCAGGCCAGCCAAAGGACAAGGCCTCCTCTGCCTGGGAACTCAAGCCACCTATCCCCTCCTAATCTGGTCACCTCCCATGGACTACATACACACTAAGACAGACTCAATCGATTATAAATCTAAGCAGTCACGCTGCAGGATAGGTTTATGCATCAGTGGGTATTGCGTTAAAAATAACCCATCTTCTAGCTCCTATTTCAAATCCAGTTAGATTAGCTCAGTCAATGACGCTGTCATGTTCCTCTTAACGTCCACAAGGCTCTGATTGATTAAATCAAGGCAGCCCAGCCAACTGCACCAAGGACAGAAGCGGACATGTGCCAGCCAACCCAGGGCGGATTGTAGAGCTGAGCAGAGTCTTTCCCTGTGTGTTCATTTTCCTCTCTGGCAAATACATTACTAAAATTTATATAATAAAGTATGAACGGTATGTCAACAGATTCATTATCACCATGAAATATGCTTTGTGCACCCAGATAACATTTACATTTTTATTGAACCAGAGTCTGGGAATACAAAATCCACCCAACCCAAGCCAGTTTATGGCTCTTAGAAGTCAAATTAACTCTTACAGTTCATTTAAGTACTTCTTTGCAGTTCAGTTTCCAAAGCATCAACAAAATGATGCTGATCATAACATTAATATATTCATTTTCTTGTCCATCCAGTGCTGAATGATCCCTACATGCCTTTAAAAGACCCTACTTAATTGGCTTATTTGTAAATTAGGTTTTCAGGGACAATACCGGAATCAATATTTCAAAAAATCATCTGAAAGATCTGATTTGGGGTGAGTTACTGAGATTTTTGGCCCTTAACATGTGCGAAGATGGTCCTAGTATGTCAGAGCAGACCTTTCACAGATGCCCACTGCCATGGAGAAGTTTACTCCTGGTAATCTTTCAAAATCCACTGATATGCTGGAATGCTTTCCATGAGCCCTGAGAGGAGTAAGAGTAGGTTAATGACTAATCAGTTTCCAGGACGTCTGCAACCTTGTGAGAGATATCGATTTCTCTGCTCTTGCTCAGAGAATGTGAGCTAAAAAACAATGACTCACGCCGCCGTGGAGATGTGAGCTTAGGGTCAGTGGCCTAGAGAGGTGCAGAAGAGGGTCTTATTTAGTAAGCATAAATATATAGTTCAGATACCTTGGCTTTTATTTTTATATGCTTGTATAAAAATAAGTGTCCCTTAAAATGGTCATTAAGGAGTGACTTGATGATACTCTAAAATTAAAAAAAAATAATGTACACTGAGGGACAAGATATGGCTTCTATGGAACAGTGCTGAGATATAGTTCATGAATATTTTGTCTAATTTCACCTTTCTCATTCAATTCAACCAATGTATGATTTTAAACCACTTCACACATTTTAATTCATGGGACCTTTTTAACTTTGAAAATAAATCAAGTTCAATTCAGTCTTATTCCACACTATAGTGTAATAATTGTCAATATCTCAGAATCACTTCCTTAAAATACTGGATTTTGTTCTATCGCTGATATCATCTGTCATCCTTGGAGAAGTCACGTATGATCTCCAAGCTTCAGCTGATTTGTTTTTAAAGTAAGGAAATAAAAAATGGAACAGTTATGCTAAGACTCTTTCAAACAGGTTTGTGGTAAAGGAATGGATTTTAATCAATATTTTTAGATTGAAAGGAAAAAAAATTGTTTGCATCCAATTAAAAATATATAAATATAATAAAATTGAACTGTACCAAGAAGTTTGTTGAATTTTGTCTAACTGTTTAATAATAAGTACTATTTCCTTTGATAAAAAGCAACAGAAACATGTATTAGTGGTGTGTAATGACAATTAGTAAACACCCACAAATCGTACTTTTATATTACCATGGTCTGTGTTCCCTCACTAAGGGTAAGTTCTGTCAAAGCAAAAGATTTTGTTTCTTTTGTTCATTATGTTCCTATTACCTGAAATTTGCAAAAACACATAGTAAGTGTTTAATAAGTATGTGCTAGGTGAATGAATGAATAAATCAAGAAAGACAGACAACTTCATTCTTTTAAAAACTGAGTTCAATTGATGAATAGTGGCAATAGATTAAGCAAAATTTCATTTGACAAAAATATTTCCAGGTCTTTAAGAGGTTGTCTTTATATGTTTACCATTATTACTATATTAAACAGCACCCTCCACTATATCTTTAAAATCCTCACAGTGTTTTCACATTTTAAACTGGCAAGATTTTTATGAAATATTGAACACCTCTTGCTACCAATTCCACTTGATCAATAGAGCAAAGGATAACAGTACATATAAGGTGAGATACTAAAGAAATAATCATAAAATAAATCTGTTCAGGAAAGAGATTATCTGGAGAAAATACCATTGAGGTTTTTTTTTATCAAGAGAAAATGGCATCTGGTACTGTGAGTTCCCAGTAACAAATCCTGGGCAAAACATCTTATGTGTTCCCAGTAACACATCATGGGCAATATCAGTGAAGTCTCCCAGAATTTATAAAGTGCGAATTTAGAACTTCATCCTCTCTGCAGCTTAACTGTGTTGAGACATTGACCGTAAGGAGGCAGAGGTAGGATGCAGTATCCTGTATCAGCTCCCTGCCTGGGCCCACTGATTGCCAAGTACGAAGACCAGCATAGAGGGTAGTAAGAAGAAAAATAATCTACAAAGAACTTAAACAAGTTTACAAGAAAAAGCAAACAACCCCATCTAAAAGTGGGCAAAGGTTTTGAACAATATGAACAGACACTTCTCAAAAGAAGACATTTATGCAACCAACAAACATGTTTTCAAAAAGCTCATCATCACTGGTCATTAGAGAAATGCAAATCAAAACCACAATGAGATACCATCTCATGCCAGTTAGAATGGTGATCATTAAAAAGTCAGGAAACAACAGATGCTGGAGAGGATGTGGAGAAATAGGAATGCTTTTAAACTGTTGGTGGGAGTGTAAATTAGTTCAACTACTGTGGAAGACAGTGTGGCGATTCCTAATGATGTAGAACTAGAAAGTTTATTGTGGCACTGTTCACAATAGCAAAGACTTGGTACGGATCCAAGTGCCCGTCAATGATAGACTAGATAAAGAAAATGTGGCACATATACGCTATGGAATACTATGCAGCCATTAAAAAGGATGAGTTCATGTCCTTTGCAGGGACACGGATGAAGCTGGAAACCATCATTCTCAGTAAACTAACATAGGAACAGAAAACCAAACGTTCTCACTCGCAGGTGGGAGTTGAACAATGAGAACACACGGACACAGGGAGGGGAACATCACACACTTGCGCCTGTCAGGGGTTGGGGGCTAGAGGAGGGATAGCATTAGGAGAAATACCTAATGTATGTAGATCACAGGTTGATAGGAACAGCAAACCACCATGGCATGTGTAACAAATCTGCAAGTTCTGCACATGTACCCCAGAACTTAAGCATAATTTTAAAAAAATAAATAAATAAGAATAATGACAGCTCAGAATAGGCTTGTTGAGTTTCCTGCGTTGTTTTTTTTTTATGCCTAGCATTTCTGGAAAATGTGATCTATTTCTCAATTTAATTTCAAATGCTATATGGTCCCATGTTCATCGACTGAGTTACAGATTCCCTATGATGAATCCAGGATTTTTTGCTATTAAATGGAAGACTTGGAAAAGACACCATAATAAATGTTTTAAGTAGCACATTTGAGTGCTGCAGCATGAATACATATGAATATCTTCATACCTAAGTTAACTGGGCACTTCTCTTCCAAACAGTACCCCAGCCACACCCTCAGCTCTCATAAGTGACAAGTCTGAATCAGAACTCAATCTCCAAACCTAACAAATCTTCTCCTGGCTCCAGGAGGCTTGGGTTGTCCTACTCTTTCTCCGTCACTGGCCTGCATCCAAACAACTATTATCGCTACCAGTGTTACGTAGTATTTCCTCAAGTCTCCCCCAGTTTCTTCCCCCATTACCTCCTTCCTGCTTGTAGCTGCCCTTCCTAACCCTCTAATGCCACTATACCTCCTGCTTTAAGCTCCAGAAATAATTGCAGGGAGCTCCGGAGTTTCTGCTGCCACTCAACTCCCACCCCTATTCGTGGACCTATATCCCTGTTTCTTCCTTTGTCTGCAACGGCACCCCCCACCCACACTCACCCATACCAACTGTCACCTATCCATCACCCTCCCCTTATGCAGAGACCTGATTCTCATCATCTACATCTGGGGCTCTCCTTGACCTCCCTCCTTCACCCATTCTCAGCACCATTGGCTGATTATAATACTGTTTCAATCCTGCTTACTCTCCTGACATAGCAAGTCAGTGTTGTTAAGCAATATTTTGGGTATTGGGAGGGTTAAGTAAAAGACATTTTGAGAGTACATCTTTTTAGTAATGCATTATAATGATGACTAGCATGCAGGCTCATTTTGTTCCTCATTATTTAAAAAGCACGATTATTTATATTAATATGAACAAGGATTTCTAAACACTGGTTTTAAATAAAATGTTTGAATGTATAGATAGTGACTAATTTTTTTTGTAAACACTAGTTAAGTAAAAAATTACTGTCAGAGTAATAATTGATATTTCAAATGAAGAATCAATTGAACCTTCCTGAAAGAGACAGAATCTGCTTTGTCCTGCACATAAGCCACGTTAAATGTACTTCTCTCTGCCCCTACTTCAGTACAACGTGGTGCCTGGGATAACGTTTAGGGAAGGTTGCTGGGTTCATGCAGCCAATTGCCTCCAAATGACCAGACATGGTTAATGTGCCATCTCTATCTAGACAGGCTGTATTTACATTGTTACTGAGAAACAATGAAGACATTTTCATGCTCAGCAGGCTAAAGGAATAAAAAGGCAATCTTCAACCTAGATCTTCATCATTGTATTACAGTCTAATAACTAATATACGGGGAAAAGAATCTGTCTCTCTGCTGCAGGGAGCTTTTCTTCTAAATATATTCTTCCAAATAGCCAACAAATAAAAGACTTACCTTAAAAATTTAAAAATATATACACTTAGAAATTCAAAAGATATTAATATTAAAATATCTGGATAGAAATATAGAAAATATATATCAGGCTTGGAGGTTGCTCAGTGTTGATTCAAATTACTTTATATCAAGTTTCATTAGAGCACAACATGTCTACTCTTAAGATGTACAGTTTGTAATTATGTATCGTTATAGGGATACATCTACTTTTCTTATATGAAGAGACAATTATGTGATTATATTTAGTCTTTAAGTTTGCAAATAATACGATTATGTCTGTTTTGGACCGAATTTTACAAATCTAAGTTGTAATTTCTTGTTTCCAATCCTCTACATTGATTGTGTAGAGAAGTATCCACTAGCCACCTTCTTTCCCTCTTTCAATGTTGTGTTATAGGAAAATTCAAGGGATAAAGGACTTGTGAAGTTTGACATCAGGAATCACAGGTATAAGTGCATAACAAAATCAGATTAGTCCAGTGATTCACACATTGCCCATCAGATGTCTTCTTTCACTTGGAACCTTTCAGAATGTTTTTGCTTCCTGTGAGTAAAGTATTCTTGACCCAAATAATATTCAACCCTTTTCTTCTTGGGGGCCTATCAGTCATGCTTCAGAGAATTACACATAAACAAAAGGGGAAAATAAAATTTATGAAATTATTTTTATACTTAGTCTGATACTAAGACTTCTTTTAGAGCCCAGAGTTTAAGAATGGGCTCTTCGGCTGGGCAAGGTAGCTCAACACTTTTAGTGGATGAGGTGGACGGATGGCTTGAGCCCAGGTGATCGAGACCAGCCTGGAAAACATGACAAAACCCCATCTCTGCAAAAAAATACAAAACTTGGAGGAGCAGGATGATGCACACCTGCAGTCCCAGCTACTCAGAAGGCTGAGATGGGAGGGTACCTTGAGCCCAGGAAGTCAACGCTGCAGTGAGCCGAGATCCCAACACTGCACTCAGCCTGGGAACAGAGCAAGACAGGTTCTTGCTACTGAAAAACAAATAACCATGGAGATTTGTATTAAGAAATGCTGAACTGCTATTGTCCAGGTATGTTTCTTATTAAATAGGTTGCCATAACCAGAAACAGAGGGATACTGGTTCCACCCAACACTTTCTTTTTTCCCCAGTAACGTGGGTGGAATCCACCCAACATTTTCAATCCAGTGATCGTTAGATGAATAAACCATGGAAATGTCTAACATCTTTTTAAAGCATTTAAAAGATGATTACTTGTTCTTGTTTATCTTCTTTTTGATCATTGGCCCAGAATAATTTATAATATTCTTATATAAGACACTATAAGACCTTTTGGGAAAGGACCACACTGTTTAAGCTGCTCAGACAACTGTATACTCCACATTCATGATCTTGTTAGATTAATTTACTTATTTTTACTGTGATACATATGTAATCCCATAATCCTTTGAGTTTTGTAGCTTCTTTTAGCCATCTGGAAGCTTTTCTGTTTTTTAATTGACTGAAGATTGATTGATACCTCACCCAATTCCCAGGGAGGATTAGTGGATTAATGGCAGTCCTCTGATTGTTCTATTTCAAATAGTGTTTAATTAAAAAGATAATTCCAACTGGTTTAAAAATAGGTGGACTATAATTTCAATTAAATAATAGTGGGAGTAAGCAACTAAAGATAATTAAAACATAGCAAATTTTAAAATGATTAATGAGCACATGCAAAATCTAGACTTGATTATTTTAGAGTGTGTATTTAATTTGAGAAATGAACTCTAAGAAATGATGATGAGAAACCAAGACTGTAGCAATGAGAGTAACCAAGAAGAACCTGGGCTCAGACTCTCTGTTGCACAGTGTGCCTGAAGGAGCTTTCTTGTGAAAGCGTAACTTGGAAAAGAAATGCTTCCCAGCAAACTACTTCTCAGGTGGAGCTCACCTGAGCTATATTTTTCTATAAGTGCTTTAAGCTTTCCACAGAGCCCCATCCCTCGGGTAGGGAGGAGAGGAAGTTGTTGGTGTGTGCTGCCATCAGTTGGGATCTGTGATATGGTTTAGCTCTGTGTCCCC